ATTTCTATTCATTGTTTGGATTCACGGGGTCACAAGATGTGTGTCTTAGGCGCCACCTACTGAGCTTTATGCTCACCCTATTATTATAACATTTTTCAAGACAGGGGAAAGAAGTGGTGGATGACGTTCCACCACATGCCTAATTTGGATTAGAAGATCATTTTGCTATTTTTGTATCCAAGTCTCACTATTTTTGTAACACTTAGTATATTATATTTTGTACGGAGACTTATGGACTCTTGTTATTGTAATTATATTCATGGACTGTAAGTAGATGTAATTGGAGTAAAATTCTAGTATGTGAGCATGGAACTATGTATAAGACAAGTACTCCTTTATTCTAGATGAATGGGTCGATGGTGATGGGCTATTTTGAGGAGGTTATTGATGTTGTTGTTTTGGGAATATTTTATAATATTTGCATTGTGTGCTGGGACAGGTTAGACAAATTTTGAAGGTCCAAGAGAGGTCATTGCATTTTTATGCATTTAAGCAGGTTGGCGTAGGACCCTTTTTAGTAAAGGTCATACCAATTTTTTTTTTAATTGGTATCAGTTTAGGGTTATTACAGGAGTGGTGTAATCTTTATTATCCTACTAGCTTTGTGGTGGTTGTTCTTGCAAGTATATTGCTATTGTTTGATTTCGCATTTTATTTCAAGTTGACAATCCTAAGTAGTTGTAACTTCTTGTTGGCATTGGTGTTTCTAATATTGTTTAATTACGTTACTTGTTATGGATTGCTTTCAAAATATTTCAAAGTTAGCTTTAGGATAATCCCTTAGCTTTCCTTTGAAACTAAACGTTAGAAAGCATAATCCATACGTGTTTGGTTTGTATTACATTTACAAAAACCATTAAAACTTTAGGGTATACGCATACGTTTCATCCTACTGAGTAACTTGTTTACTTACCCTAGTTGATATTTGTTTTTCAGGCAAGGTGGCTCTCTTTTTGGATGCACAACATCCCTAGCTTGGCTTGAGTTTTATTTGAATACCTTTTGTATATTTTTGACATGCAAGTGTTGGCATGATATTGCTCTTTCGAAGTTATTAATGTATAACTTGTTTAAAAACATGCCTTGCTTTCTTTTGGAAGTGTAATATGAACTTAAGTACTCCATTTTGATGCTACTTTAATTTGTATGTAATGAAGCCAAGGGCCAAACACTTTTTATGTATGGAATGTATGATATTTTATAACATGTTTTTATCTCTTTGGCATAGTTTAATATTGGGGTCATTTTAGTCATTTTATGTTGCATTTTATTTTTGGTTTGGACCATGTCTGATCAGAGGAATCATTTTTTAGGGAGAGTTACTTCACAAACCTTTTCCAAAAAGTCCCGTTTTAGCCTAAAAATCAAGCGTTTTCGAAAAATAATTGCTCGCAGCCAAATACTTTTTCTTCTTGACATACCTTGCGCTCGGGGGCATTTTGGTCTTTTTATGTTACTTTTTATTCTTGGTTTGAACCATGGTTGATTAGATGACTCATTTTTAGGGGTGGTTTCTTCACAAACTGTTTCCAAAAAGTCCTGTTTTAGCCTTGAAAATCACGTGTTTTCGAAAAAAAAAACTGCTTGCAGCCAAATCGATCGTACCGAGCACATTATGACATTTTTTTTTTTTTTTTTTTGTAAAACTTCGAAAATTCATATCTTTTTCGTTCTAACTTCAAATCGATTTTTTAGTATAAGTTTATTAATTTTTTGTTATCTATCCGATGGTATGCACGGTAGCATCCATTTTTGTTTGAAAATGACCATTTTTACCCCTAGTGGCATCTTTGACCGTTTTAAACCCTAACTCCCGCATTTATTTCCTTTTGAGTCTCGTAACTTCTCTGGAAGTCACTTTGGCATCTTAGAGGTTGTATTAATCTCTAGAGACTTCTTCTCTTTCATTGCTTCCGCATCTGGGATCCGTTATCGGGTCAATTTTTGGTTTACTCGTTAACGCACCGGGTTCTTTGAAATTCTAGCCGTCACGGGATTTCTCATTCTTTCACCAGAATTCTTCTTTTCTCAATATATTAGACTTGCTCTCAAGTCTGAAGTCTGGTACATATTAGAATGGGCTCACCTCAACCCCTTTTATAGGGCTCTAATTTAGGGGTGGAATGGTTTAAATATGTATTTAATCCAGAAGCCCAAAGGTTATTGGCCCATTAACCATTAACCCATGTTAGACGACCAAGATCAGTTTGATCTTGTAACTCTCGAGCAATTCAAGAGTCTTGAAAGATCGAACAACTATGATCTCTTGCTTGATCGGGTAACCGATCAAGGGTCCAATATTCTCTCGTGCATGTGCATGGCTCGAACACAAGACCTCTTGTGCAAAATGGTAACTCTTAATCTCCATTTACCTGTTGGAAATTGAGGCATTAAAATCATAAACTTTGGATGAGATTTGGAATAGATTCCGCTGATAATTTTTTGCGGATCTCTAGACGAGCGCGTATATTTACTTTCTCAAATCCGTTTCCGGGTGAATGAGAAATTAGCTCCAAAGTGTGGTGTTTTGATAAGCCTAAATGGGTATGCAAAATGTGGGAAGTGTTTGTCCCACATGGAAAAAATGTTGAAACTAATTGAAATTTAAATAAGCCAAATTTGGGCTTGGGCCTAATTGTAAAGTCTAATTATTTTTTTTACTAAATGGAATCTTGGATTGGGCCTTAAATTTTAGGCTGAGCTTATTTAAATGGGTGGTTAGTATTTGAATTTAAATTAAAAGTTAGTTTTTTTTTTTTAAAGGATTATATCTATTTCTAAAGGGTTCCATCTATTTTTCAAAGAGTTGCATCTGTTTATAAAGGGTTGCAACTTAAAACCAACAGACATAACTATTCATGTGAACCATTGTAACTTATTGGAGTGAATGTGTCTATTGGTGAATAGACACCATATGAACCATTGCAACCTATTGGAGTGGATGTGTCTATTGGTAAACAGACACTATGTGAACCATTGCAACTAATTGGGGTGGATGTGTCCAGTGAAAAGACACATATAAATGGTTGTGTCCAATGATGAAGAGACACACCCAATTCGAAAAGGCACATTGTTGCCTATAAATACCCCCTTTGGATCATTTGCAAATCATTCATTTTCATTTTCTTCTATCTCGCTCTCTACACTTGAACCCAACCCAAGTGGGTTCAAACCATAGGTTAAGTGGTCCGAACCACTTAGACCCTAATCCAATTTCATCGAGCCATATTAAGATTGGTTCGAACCATTTAGTTCGGATTGCATTCAATTCAGCATTTATATAATATAGATGCATTTTTGAGTCGGAGAGAGTATTACACGGAGAAGGTTCGCCGTATCCACGAGTTTGTAGTGCTGCTACTGGTGGATGTAAACCGTTGTATCATGGGAAATAGACGCTATTGAGTCCATAAGTATCATAACGAGTCGAATCTGTCTTAAGGATATAGTATCAAATACTAGCCTCGGTCCAGATTCTTTATTTATTATTATTATTTTATTTTACATATTTAATTAATTATAGAGTTGCATATTTAATTAATGATTTCTTAGCATATTGTTAATTATCTCATAACATATTAGTATAAGATTTGTTATATCTTAAATGCTACATGAAACATATATATTTACCAACATTACCAACTAGGCAGACAACTTGTTGGTTGCGTTATAAAATAGGGAGCAAATATATTTAAAGTATATTTTAAATTCCTTTATAAAACTAAACATAAATTTTAAAACACCTTCCAACATAGGCGGCCATATGTTACTTGCGAGGCAAGCACTTGCAATATATATTTATTGACCAACCATCAATATTCCTGGTGCGTGGTGTCCGAAAAAGATAGGAGAGAGAATGTGTGCGAGACGGGGAAGATGAGGAATTTTAGGTTAATAGAAAAGGGTAAATATGAAACTAAAAAATATATTGTGTGGTTTAGTAACTTTTTTTTTTTTTTTTTTAACTTTATTCTAAAAAAATTTAAGAGGGGAGTGCCACAAGAAATTGGTGGAGAGCCAATATCACTACCCTATTTTAATCCCCATTTGAGTTATCATATCGAATTCAAATAAAAATCCAATCTCTAGGCAGACATAAACATAATAATACATTTTATATTTACAATTTTTATCCAATGTTTTTATTTTTTTTTTACTTTTAAAAATATTTTCTTTTATTTTGTCATTATTTTTAACAAAAAAATTACACATTTATTAATGAATTACTTAAATACTGAATATTTTGAGAGCTCAAAAGATATTTTGATGAAAATTAAGCATTATTTTTTGCACATACATATATATCCAAATAGTAAAAACTTAAAATTTATGTGCTGATTTTAAATTGAACTATTTTTATTTTTATTTTATTTCTTGTACGCTTAAAATTTCATTTATGTCTTAATTGATATCCAAATTATGTTATGAGATGCACTTAATTCAACATATCTCAATTTTGAATATAACTAATCAAAAAGGAAGGGAAAAAATATACTATAATTCTTTTTAGTAAAATTTATATTTGATCCTGTCCAAATCCATTAAGTAATATGGTGAATTATTGTATGAATGAATCAGGCTTTAGGGGTATTTATGATATTCGATTTAATAAACTAATTTGATAAGAGTAGTATTTTTTGTTTTGTTAAATAAATTTAATGCCAAAAGAGATGGACAATACCTACATATATAAAAACCTTATATATTACATTATATAATCAAATTCTGTGATATATATATATATATATATATTACATTATATTGTATTATTATTATATTATGTCAAATAGGATTTTCCCCCATAATTCATCAACATAGTACAACATATTATCCATACTTGAAAAAATTAAGTGTGCTATTATTTGTTCAGTTGCAAGTTTATTGTCAAGGGGAGGGAAAAAAAAAAATTGTGAATGAAAAATAATTAGTTAACATTGAAAAGAAGAGTACATTACATGTACCAAACATAAAAGATTATCATCTATTGGTCAATCCCAAATCAATAGATTTTGGGATTTGGGGCAAAATAGTTGAGTCGGTCAGGCATCAAACATTTTCAAGAAATTTATAAAAGGAAGAAAAAAACCTAAAAGTTGAAGAAGAGAAACATTATACACCTTTCCCCCCTCCCCTCTATCTCTCTCGCACAAGTGGTACGCTTACGACATTTTCCATTCTATGTAATACACTGTATATACATCCATCTATATCTATATATAGTATATGTACTCACAAACCCTAAGACACACACCCGATTTTAAACAACAAAATTGTTTTTCAAATTCATCGATCATACTGTTACTAACTTCAGTTCAACAAGCATGTGTTTTGATTTTGTTAGGTTTTCCAAATTGGTGCACCGATTCGCATTCTTCAGCAATGTTTAGGGTTTCAGAGATTCGTTGAAGACGATAATGGTCGATTCAGCTGGGTATTCTGTTTATTGTATGGGTAGAGAATGCCGGAGCTGCGCAGTGGAGTACGCCGAGGCCGTGCTCCGGTAGTAGACCAGCGGCCAGGGAAGAAATCGGCGCAATTGGTTGGGAATTACGTCAAGACTCGTGCGGCCAAAGCAAGAGAAGCAAAAGCTGCGGAAGCAAAAGCATCTGGAGAGGAGGCGTTGCCGCAGCGGCGGACGCGATTGGAGGCGGCAGCAGCAGCGAAGAAGAAGAATCGGAAAGAAGAACCGGTGATTGTGATTTCTGAGGATAAGAAGGTTGAAGAAGGAGATAAAGGAGGGTTTTTGGCAAAAAGCGGAAAAGGTGAGGTTAGGAAGAAGCGTACGATGGGGGATGATAGTGGTGGATTGAGTGCTAATAAGATCACTGGACAGGAAGAAGAAGGGAACACAGCCCCTTTCCCTGAGAAGGTAAGCATAATATTTGTGTGTGTATGTAGATTTGATACACTTGGTTGTCATTTTTAATGGATTGTTACAATATTACACTCAAAAAGTTTGGTTATATGGAAATTGTGATGTCCTTTTGTGATTACAAACATTCATGGAAATAAATTTGTTTACATGGTCAAACAAATTTTGTTTTCATGTTCGTGATTGTCTTTCTTGTCTTAAAATCACTAACTAAATTATAATCGATATAATGGAGTTTATAAACTTGTATTTGTGTGTCAGTGGGCATGGATGTGTGCGTGTGTAAACCAAGCATGACCAGTCCAAGTCTCCCAGCAGTCACATTGTTTTATGTCTGTTTAGCGTCCTGTATAGTTGAATCTAATGCTGAGTAATGCCGCAATGGCCCTTTTATGTGAGCTTATAGTCCACAAGGTTTATATGATATGTAATTCCATGCATTAATTGTGCACATCTTGTTACTTCTAAAAGTATTGTTCATTTAGTTTTGATGATCCCTTTTGTAATTCCACAGGTTTTTCCAATTGTAAATGGATGCCTGATTTTTCAAATATTCAATGAGTTGTATAGATTATGAAAGTTGTCTTCATTTGTTTTTGTTTTTGTTTTGGGTTGATATCTAGGTTCAAGTAGGAGGTTCACCACTTTATAAGATTGAGAGGAAGCTAGGTAAAGGTGGATTTGGTCAGGTGTTTGTGGGTCGTTGTATTTCGGGTGGAAATGATCGCGCGACTGGTCCTGGTGCAGTGGAGGTAACATTTTCTGAAATCATACTGAAGTATTTGTTTGTATATATCAATTGTTTTCTTTCTGTTTGTTATGAATGCTGATAATTTATATAAATTATGTGGAAGTTCTGTTATGAATTAACTTCGGTTTGTTGTGTTGACACTAGGTAGCTCTGAAATTTGAGCACAGAACTAGCAAAGGCTGTAACTATGGTCCCCCATATGAGTGGCAGGTGTACAAGTATGGACAAGAATTTCTTTTTGTACATTTATGTGTTCATAATGGGAGTGATTTCTAGTGATTAGAATTTGTCATGGGTTTTGTTTGTACAGCACACTTGGTGGCAGTCATGGAGTGCCTAGAGTACACTTCAAAGGAAAGCAAGGAGACTATTATGTTATGGTGTGATATACTACCCTATACATGTTTATGCATCAACTATTATGTAATAATCTAACTTTGATCCATGCTTTGTAGGTTATGGACATGCTAGGACCTAGCTTATGGGATGTATGGAATTCTTCAGGACAGTCGTAAGTGTACCATCTTTGTGAATTCAATATGCTACGCTATGACATGTGTGCAATAGGCTACGCGATGACATGCAGGCTACGTTATGACGTGTGCATTGAACAGGGTGTGAATGTATGAAATTTTGTCCGTCTTTAGAATGTTCAAGATTCTGATTGTATTTTGTTACTTTATACTTTAGTTTGTTGTAGACTGGTTAGTGAAGGACATTATATTAGAATTTCTAGGCTAACACTTAACGGCTTGCCTGGAGATGAAGCTGATATATGCATATTCTACTATTTTAGAGTTATTCTGCCATGTCACGTTATATAGTTATATTAGCCAACACTGACCAAGTGGGTTTCTCTCAGACTCTCATATATATGCATCAGTTCTTATAGATGGATTTTTAGCAAACAGCTTGATGGCGAGTGTGATTTTCCTTCTACCACTGGTAAAGACATGCCTGTCACCATATATATATATTTTGTGTATAGATAGATAGAATCTATTAAACTGAGGTCAGTAGTGGAATATAAGCATCTTACTCCTCTCCCCTCATCCCAAAAAGAGGAAAAAGAAAATAAGAAAATTTCCATTTATGGACTAGTCGAATTAGTGTTACATTTAATGAGGTTAACCTATAAAATAGATAATTATTGTTGCCCTTTTGTGAGATTTAAATATATGTTTGTTAGGTCTATAGGACTTTGGTTGGCAAATTTCGTACAAAATGAAGTCTGTAATCTTGATTTTTAACTTTTTGGGTTATGTTTTAGAAGTTAGTTAAGCTAGCAGTTGGTTTACCTCTGTTCAAGGGCAAATCGGAGAATGTGAACTTCAACAAGGACAAAAAAGTAGATTCAAACTATTAATATTGTGCATTCCCAATTTAGGGTTAATATGCATTCATTCATATTGACGGAGAGCAATCCTCTTTCGGGGTTCTGAAATTCTCTATCATTTGCTCTCTTTTTTGTTCGGTCTTTGGGAGATACTGTAAATCCTTAGGGGAGTTAGTTGATTTTTTGGGTTCCTTTTATAGCTCTCTTATACAATCTTACTTATAAAAAAAATTCATATTAAACATGTTAGGGTTTTTAAGTTGCATGCAGTGTTGTGGAAGGTGCCCGTTTTGTGCCTAGGATATGTGTAGACGTGTTGCCATTACAAAGCTTTGGAAGAATGGTGCACACAACATCGTTTTTGGTTATTTTTGCTAAGTTTATATTTTATTATTTATTATTTTTTTCGTTCATTTGATTGCTGCTAGTGTAAAATACTTTGGTGCTCCTTCACCAATATCATATAGGCCTTCCTATATAAGTTTAAGTTCATTCTCTTCATTAAAACACGTCTTCGATGGACTCAACCAGCTGCTCGGCTTTACAAACTCAATTAAGTGATTGGTGACTAATGACCACTTCGAAGGCTCATCGTCTGTGACCGGTGACCACAAAGCTATACATCTGCCTCCATTTTCTTTTTCTTCTTCTCTTCTTCTTCAAATTGGGACCCCTAATACTTCCCCTTTATAAAATCTCTATAACCCATCATTTCTTTTCTATTTTTTATTTTTCTTCTTCTTCAAATTTCTGTGATTTTCTTCATTTTTTTCAGTGCTCCCTCTTTATAAAATCTTTATAATCCAGCATTTTTTTTTTTGTACTTTCCTTCTTTAAATCTTTCTCTCCCGCGTGCATGCTCGCTCGCGTTATTTATTTGGCTTTTTTTTTTTTTTTTATTATTATTTTTTTATAGTTCTCAATTACTTACTGCATGAGTGCATGTATCTAGTTGTTAAGTTTGCTGAAAATGCGATTTCCTTGTTTTGCTTGTGCCTCATGGTTCAAGCATTAAAAATCAGTGAGGTTTACTATTTTCGAAATTCAAAGAAGTTACCAATGGCAAGAAGAACTCCAAAGGCTTAATCAATCACTGCTTTGTAATATATATTTTTTTGATAAGTTAATTACTTCTTCGTAATGCTGAAAAAGGATTACTATATTTTACTAATACGTGCCCATACTATATCTATTCATTGATTTGATTCTTGCGATGGGTACTGGAAGTCTGGAATTCATTTTAGAATTATGAAGAAATTTAGGAATTAGAACCATAAGAGAGAGAGTTGCCTTTCGATTATCTTAGATAGATCAGAACAAATAGATGTACCAAATAAATAGAATTGGGATCTTGTACCTTACGCTTAGACTCCAAGGGACCTTTGGTGACTTACGCTGTGTTTGGAATGAGAGGATTTCACCAGAATTAAATTTGAAAAGGGATTTCACATGTTTGGAATGGGTGGGATTTTAAAAGGGTTGGGAATTGATGGAATTTCATGGGAAACATTATAACGTAGACAAATCCTGGAAAATTGAGGGAATTTGACAGGATTTGATAACTAACTGTTTAGCTTACCAAAATACCCTTTTACAAAACCGCTTTTCCATATGTCATCGTGCAAACTTCTTTCTCATCTTTCGGTTGTCTAATCTTAAAAATGTACACTATTTATTTCTTTTCAAATTCCATTTTACAAATTCTAGTTTATTCCAAACGTGAAATAGAATTCCTTTTCCAATCTAATTCTAAATCCCAATAGAATTTGTTCCAAACAAAGGGTTAGTGTGCTTTGAGCCGCTGATAAGATTACATGTTTTGATTTGTAAAACGGTTTTTGGAATTTATGAAACTGTTTTGCAAAATGGAATCTTATTAGAACTAGAAATGGGTGTTTGATTGATCCAAGCATTGATTAAAACTTACTGATCTAGGCTCCAATTCCATCGATCGAAATTTACGAAAAAAAGCAGTTTCCAAATCTGATTTGAACTCTATTAACTTTATTCTTCTTCAGCCTTTAAGGTCTATAGATGAGACCAGGGAACCTATGCCAAGAGAATACCTGTGTACAAGCATGGGGAGCATTATTGATCCTCATATATTTGTAAGGCAATTTGGGATTGCATCCTGGCCATCCAATTGCTAGAATACTGTTTCTTTCATTCATCATCCATGTATATAGATGTTAATTTTCATGAGCGAGTATTGAAACATACAATTTCTAGAGCTTCAAGGATTTCAACCCCACATCAAGTTCCACGCAATAAATAACGAATCGGACGTTACCAGTCATTGGAGATTGAGCACACGTTAGAGAGTAGACTGCATGAGGAGTGAGTTTGTTGATTGACATTAGCAGAGATTGAGTTGGGTCATTTGGCTTGAGTCTGGGTCTGAGACAACTACGATATTCTAGGATTTAGGAATGTAGTTAACCTAGTGTGTATACCTTTATTGTGAAAGTGGATATGATCTACTTGGATGAAGTCCCATGATTTTTCACTTTGGGGTATTTTGCACGTAAAATTGGTGGTTATGTGGATAATTTTATGCTCTATATTTCTGCACTCAACCAATTTTTACATGTTTATTGATTGATAACTAATTTTATTTAGTTATGATAATTGAAATTTGAAATTCGGTTCAAGTTCGTTAATTGTTAATACCTATTCACCCCCCTTCTCCCTCTAGGTCTAGATTGGCTTGCACTAACTCTATATCTAGGGTTACGCTCCTTGGATTTCTTAATTAGTGTGACAGCATATCGATTGTGGATTTTTCTTAATTTTGAAAAACTAAATTAATCATTACAATGATATGTGGATCCTAAGACGATCACATATAACAATTGAGATGGATAAAATCAAATTCTCCATGTTCTGTATCGCCTAGTAAAATTCCTTTTTCATTTTACTTTCTTCTTTTCTGGACATGATTTGTAGAATGGGACTTTGTTTTGTAGTCGACACCCACCCCCCCCTTCCCTAGGAAGAAACACACCCACTTGCCCTCATGGGGACTTGAACCCCCGACCTACTTTGGAAGGTGAGGAAGTACCACTAGGCTACAGCCTTTGGTGGTATTTTTGTTTTCTAGTTTTAATTCTTCTCTTCAGAAATTTTTGTAATTTCAAGAATCCTTGGAATTTTTGTGAAGCAATCAATAATCACTTGCAGATGTTGATTTGGTATGAATGAAATATATATGCCAGTAAGATTTCTTAGGATAACATACTCAATCTTTGGCATGCGCCTAGCTGCTTACAGCTAAAAGAACCTCATAAAACTGCTTAGTACATTTGCCTTTATAACTTTTGGCATTTAAAATGTTTCCTCATGTGAGAAGAATTGCTCATATAAACTAAAATTATTCATTAAGGGATTTTAGCTTTCTGATTTAGTACTTAGTTTCATATTGTACCAATAGCATGTCAATGGGACTGCTCTGTACTTGCAAAGGAACTTTGCGATTGATGGTAATGCCACTTCTTGTTATTTTAGTAGATATAAAGTTGCAAAAAAGAGTTTTGATGCTTTTCCCACCTTTGCAGGGTTAATGTTGCTTATCCCAACCTTTAGGTATCAAGTTGTGTTTACTGCATTGAACTTTCACTGTCTATGTGTGCTTTCTTACTCAGTTAACAATTGTACTGCAATGTCCTTTTGCATTTAGATGTTTTGAATATGATTTGTTATCATCTTTCTAACGTGTATTTTTCATTTTTTATTTTCTCTAGGGGTGGGGGTGGGTAGGATTACTTTTATGACTCTTTTTTTTCCCCTTGTATTTATTCAACGTATAACCTCAACGTATAACCTTTAGGTATTAAGTTGTGTTTACTGCATTGTAAGTAGATGTGTTGAATATGATTTGTTATCATCTTTCTAATGTGTATTGTTCACTTTTTCTTTTCTCTAGGTGGTGGGGGTGGGTAGGATTACTTTTATGACTTTTTTTCCCCTTATATTTATTCAATGTATAACCTTTAGGTATTAAGTTGTGTTTACTCTTTACTGCATTGTAATTTCAGTGTATGTGTCGCAGATGGTTTTCCTACTCTGTGAACAATTGCACTAGAATTTTCTTTTTGCATCTTGATGTGTTGAATATGATTTGTTATCATCTTTCTAATGTGTATTTTTCAGTTTTTCTTCTCTAGGGGATGGGCGTGGGTAGGATTACTTTTATGACTTTTTTTGCCATTTATATTTATATTTATTCAATGTATATATGCACACACACACACACGCACACACACACACATACATATCATACCACCCATGTGCTTGGTGTTTACACCTGTCACATGAGATAGCTTATGTTTCACTAAAGGAAGATGGTTCATCTTTTATTCTTCGAATGGAAAATAGATCTTTCTCTTTTTTATTTGTTCTTGTTCACACAAAGCTTGCTGGAACTTAGATATCTGAGTTGTTGCATTTATCTATTCCGTTCGCAGGATGTCCTCTGAAATGGTAGCTTGTATTGCAGTTGAATCTTTGTCAATCCTGGAGAAGATGCACTCCAGGGGGTATGACATCAATTTTTTGTATTTTCTTTTACTTTTTAATTTTTATTAGAGGCTTCCTCAATTTCTTGCGCGAGCTATTGATAAGGTCACGGTGATCTATTCGTCCATTAATTTATTTTTTATGACTTCTGTTTCACACTATTTCTGTTACTGATACCAGTTATGTGCATGGAGATATAAAGCCAGAAAACTTTTTACTTGGCCAGCCATCTACAGCCCAAGAGAAAAAGTTGTTTCTTGTTGACCTGGGATTAGGTGGGTGAATTTTGTTCATTCTTTAATAACCTCCTCTGTTTGTATACTGTATTGCTTCTTATTGTGTTGTTGATAAATGAGTTGCAGCGACGAAGTGGAGAGACAGCAGCAATGGGCATGTTGAATATGATCAACGTCCTGATATGTTCAGGTGAATTTTTACTGTGTATTTTTGAACTATGGTTTGTGAGTTTTTATTTTTATGCTTCTGTCATCTTGATGCCTCTTGTGCATAATTTTCAGAGGAACTGTTCGATATGCTAGCGTGCATGCTCATTTGGGAAGAACTGCCAGTAGAAGAGATGATCTGGAATCTCTTGCATATACGCTAATTTTTCTTCACCGAGGCAGGCTACCATGGCAAGGGTATCAGGTATTACCTGTAATTACTGTACTTGTTTTCTAGACCGATATTACTTTTGCTGGAATTGCTTTATTGATAAAGTATTGAGTTCCTCTTATGCACATGTATATATTTTTTTTCTTTCTATTTGTTAGGGTGATAATAAATCATTCTTAGTTTGCAAGAAAAAGATGGCAACATCTCCTGAAACAATGTGCTGCTTCTGCCCTGCACCTCTTAGACAATTTCTTGAGGTTGTGGTGAACATGAAATTTGATGAAGAGCCCAACTATTCCAAGCTAATATCACTGTTTGAGGGTCTGATTGGACAAAATCCTGCTATTAGGCCTATAAATACTGATGGTGCTCAAAAGGTAGGAATGGGAGATTTGTGCATTCATTTTCTTAGCTTCTTTGTTAGATGCTTGTTAGAGATTTAGGGATTTTGATTGTGTAATTTTTGGTAGATTATTTGTCAAGTTGGCCAAAAACGTGGTAGATTGAATATTGAAGAGGAAGATAATGGGCTGCCTAAGAAAAAGGTTCGGCTAGGAGTTCCTGCTACGCAGTGGATTTCAGTTTACAATGCCAGGCTACCCATGAAACAGAGGTAGTTTTGTATAATACCCCCTCCCCTCTCCCAGAGTAGTTGAGATTTATTTGTTTTATTCATATTTTACACTATTATGTCAAAACACTGTGAAAGGCTATCGGTGGGATTAAATTTAATGATTTACTGTTAATATTGCTGGCTGAATTTAGTTGAAATTTTGAAAATAAATCACATGGTGCATCATGGATGTTTAACTAGCTTTTTATTCCCTTTTTAAAATCATACTTTTTATATTGCGTTGGCAGGATCTGAATGTTTCTTAATTTTTTCTGGTTGAATTTCTTATTTATTATTTGTTGTTTTACTATGACCTGGTTAATATATTATCACTTTGCTATTAAAATAATTTTATGAGGAGTTGTTGACAAATATGCTAAACACAATTTTTTCTCAGATCAGAGTTTGCTTTGCTGTATAACTCTCAGATGGCTTTATAGCTTCACTATACATTATGATTTCCTCCCCATCCCCACAATTCCTTTGCTTCTTGTAATTTGTTTTATGCTCTGCCTTTAAAATCTTATTTATTTTTTATTCTTTTTATTTTCCTTGAGAGGACTGTAGATAGCTCAATTTTAATTAAGAATAGTTACCAGGTTCTTTTAGTTTAATTCAGTAAGTGAGGGTCTTTTTCTCTGGATTTGAAGTTTCAAATACTTGATTGATCTGAAATTTATAAAGTTGCATCAAGGATTGGTAATCCATTGATACTTATAGTTATTGGTTGCAACCTTGTACATTTGATGGTAATTCTGTTGGTTATTCGTAATAGATGATAGGGAAATCTTGTGATCAACTTCCAAGTGCTCATTCCTTCACCTAAGAGGGTTATTCTTTATGTCAGGGGTCTTATGATGAGGGGGGCATTGTTTTATGTTTTTGTATTTTTTGTGAAATTGATCTTATTAGGTTGTAAGATGAGGTAATGTTGGTTCTTATGTGTTAAACGAATGCCTTAAGCCCACAATTGATGGTTTGGCTACACATAATTGTTCATCATTTCACTCTATTTGGGGCCATGAATCCTTCAAATCACAACCAACATGTATTTCTGCTCTAAGTCCACACATGACTTATTTGGGTCTTCTTTGTCTTATGTTTCATTCTATTTGAACCGTATTACTCCTTGTTGGTGTAGTCATTCTTCTTGTTGCATTGACCATCAATTTTTTTCCCTCATTTGTACTCCATTTGGAACTGCATCTCTTCCATTGCCATTCCTCTAACAAATTATCTCTAGCCTTCTATTGTCAACATGTGTTCATCTACTAGCACAATAACCTCATGTATATGCTAGTTTTTTGTTTCTTTATTGCTCGAAGTTCTGTTTGATATAGTCTACATATCTGATGCTGAAAGGAGCTATTGAACTATGCCCTATATAGGATTGTCAAAAGAGCTTGGCTTAGCTGAGTGTCTGGTTATCTGAACTATGCCCTATATAGTCTACCCGTGAATTAGCCAATCTCGAGCTGCTCAGTCCTGCTTACAGCCCTAGCTGAAGAGATTTTTTCCCCCATTAGTCATTTACTAATACTTGGATATCGATTGTTCTAACTTTTGAACTAGTCGTAAAGTAATTTTATTTATTGTGGACGCAGGCATCCTATTACATTTATTTCCTGAATAGATTTGAGTTCTAGTTCCCAACATAGCCAAGGTCCATAATTGATAAATTGTGGATCTTTAGTGGCTGACTGGTTAGAATGGATCAGTCCTCGTGCAGGTAAAGCCTGAAGCACCTCTTTTTGATTTCGTGACTTCAGGTTGAGAATCGGTTTGTTCTTTTCCTGTTAAGTGCTACTGCCTCCCTGTGGAAGGGCCCTTGCTTGCTTTAATATATAAATACGCATATTAGCGATGATAGTTTTAATCCATTCATTGCCAGTCATTTCATCATTATGTTGTCTATTGACCCTCTCAATGGCTTTGTTATTAGGTACCATTATAATGTGGCAGAAGCAAGATTAGGACAACATGTGGAGAAAGGTAATGCAGACGGTCTACTTATTAGTTGTGTGGCATCTTGTTCCAACTTATGGGCACTTATTATGGATGCCGGAACTAATTTCACAAGCCAAGTTTATGAGCTGTCACCTTTCTTCTTACACAAGGTGAACTCTTTGTTCCATATTGACTTTGTTGCCTAGAATTATCTCAGAACAGAATAAAAGGGTAACATATCTACTGCTCACATTACAGGAATGGATCATGGAGCAATGGGAAAAGAATTTTTACATCACATCCATTGCTGGTGCCACCAATGGAAGCTCTCTTGTGGTGATGTCCAAAGGTTTGTTCTCTGTATTTTGTAGTTTATAGGATTTATGGAGGGATAAATGCTGTTTTGAAGGAATAATAAAGAATTTAATTATTCTTTCAAAATTTCAGAGAGGAATACCATTATAATGGTGTTGCGTTTTCTTTTTATGCTTTTAAAAGCACGTGAACTAAGTGTTCTTTTAGATTGTGGGGCACATGCTTTCCAAATCAGCATGGTATCCTGGATACGCACTTAAATTTTATGCTTCCATATGCTTTTGTATGCTAATGTTTAGATATGCCTCCGGTAGTTCCTCGTTGCATGGTTTTAATTGGTTATTTCATGAACACATCTTTTACTGTACATAAGCACCAACATTTTCAAAAACTAGGACAAAGATAATGTCGGGGGTGCTTCAATGCTGTATTTTAATTCATCGAATCTTGTCGTACACTCAAAACAATACAAGGTTCCATGTTGAATAATCTCATTTCAGTTCTCTCTAATCGGAGAAAAAGTTTATGTATACTTATGAGTTGGTAGAATTTATCTATTAAGAATACAACAGAATGAAACCTGTTAATTTTCATAAGAAGTTGCTTTTTATTGTGCATTTGTGAGATGTTTGACTAACTGTTACTTGATTGAGCCAGTTTATCTTCTTAATTTTATTACAAATGTATTTTTTTTAATCTGGCTCTCCCCTCTCTAAAAATTGAAGCTAGTCATTTTTTATTTTAATTCGGCAGTCCCTTCTTAATATTGAAGCTAGCCTTGCAGTTGATATGCTGTATATCCTTTAGTTAAGATGGTTCTGGTATTTTTCAGTGTACTCACGTGCAGACCCTCTCCTTATAAGGGATCAATATTTGCTTGGTTGTATCCATTTTATGTTGATAAACTCAGGCACTAAGCTTAAAAAATATGACCAAATTTCTGCAGGCACCCCATACACGCAACAATCTTATAAGGTGAGTGAATCTTTCCCCTTCAAGTGGATAAACAAGAAGTGGAGAGAAGGTTTTCATGTGACCTCCATGGCAACTGCTGGTAGCCGATGGGGTGTTGTCATGTCTCGCAATGCTGGCTTTAGTGATCAGGTTCGGCCCTTTGTCCTATTCTCACTTACTCTCATCATTCTCTGTTTTATGTTTTTCCTTTCCAAATGTTTAAGGAATTTTCTTGTGCCATTTTATATATATATATATATATATATATATATATATATTGTTGTTTCTGAAAGCTGAGAAATGGAACTCAAAGAATACACACACGCACACACGTTTCTGAAAGCTGGTAAATTGAAACTAAGAAGAAAAATGCTTTTTGTCAGTGCCCTTTGAAAACTGTTTCTGCAGAACTTGATGGCTGACTTAACCCTAAAAAAGAAAAAAACTGAAGACTGATCACTTTTAAGAATCAACTTTGGATAGTTCTCTGTATTTCAATCTGGGTGAATGAGGAAGCTGTGATTTCTTGGTTTGGGCCATCTTGGTGTAATGGCTCTAAAGAGCTGGTGATTAGTCTAATTTGGAAAAGAAAGGATCATGACAAGGAACAAGAATAGAAATAAATATGGCAACTACCTAGTGTTGGTTCTTTGTAATGGAGGAGGCTGGGAGGAATGGACTGGGTACATTATTTGCATTAAGTGTCTGCTGCCAGTTTCATGCTTCTTCTGATGCACGGCCTTCCGAGATTTAATGCAGAAGCAATATACCCTGTACAAAGACCACCAAAAAAGAGAACAAATAATGGAGAGTTTTGGCACCCCAATAGGAGCTTCCTCTACATCAAAGGATCTCCTATTTTGACCCTCCACAAAGACCACCAAACACACAAGGGCGCCACACTCCAAGTGTCATGAGCCCGAGAATCCAGTGTAAAACCTCTCTAAGCCTTAATCATGTCGAGCGTAGACCGAGGCATGACCCATTGTATCCCAAACAAAGCCAAAAGCTAGCTCCAACTATCCCTAGCCACAGGGCAGTGCAACAGAAGATGATCAACCGTTTTTTTTATCCCTCTTGCACAATGGAGATCATTGCTTGAAGAGTTTCGTGAGTAGCTTCCGGAAGTCTGGTACGGTTCTTTTTTGAATATAAGCCGAAACTTCTCCCGATTTAGTCTTAAACTATTGTTAAAGCGGTCATACTTCCTTCACCTAAACAAGAACTTAATTTAGTGCCTCTTTCCAAAAGGCGTGAATGCAAATAAAAAAACGTCCTCTGGATGTTCCCCAGAATGGCTGTCAAAGCAAAGGAAGCCATCTTAAGGGGGGGCCTTCCTATGACAAACCACCTTCCAAGGGAAGGCGTGCCGCTGAGAAGACATACTGGAATCAACCTCCTGAACCCAATGACATACTGCACCTCCCAATCTTGCAAATGCATCAGAAAGCAAACATCCCAGGTTGCCCTCCTGCTATCAAGCCGATAATAGTTAGCTACCATGGCATGCCTATCCACAACAATCCGAAAGAGTTTGGTGAGTGCAAGCCCAGATGATCCCCACACAAAATATTATCCCAAAAGCGAATGTCCCTGCCATCTCTGACCCTGAATCTGATATGTTTGAAATAATAACCTTATCCGACGATTGAGAGGTTTATACCAACTAGTCAACTAGATTTTCCAAAATGTTATCAGAAAAATACTGAGAAACTATATCCTCAAGCATTGTGATCTCCTTCTTAGTTATGGTTGATGCTTGCTCGAAATATCTGAATAATGTTGGGAGCATGGTCACATAGAGTGGGAGCAAGTGCTAGAGCGCGAAAGCGTCAAAGTCTAAAGTTTTTGAAAGCGGGAGTGACTGTACGTTAGGTCTAAATAAAATTATATCAGGTCATGACACATATATTTTATATATATTTTTTATTTATTTAAATCCATATGCAAATATATTCATTATTATTTATTCCACTTGGGAAGAATTTATATCACACTAATAGATGTGTGATTTATTTGTAATATTCTCAAATTGGGAAGTTTTTTAGTGGTATATTTTCAAACATGTATATATATATATATATATATATATATATATATATATGTGGTAGTATAGCAATGCCATACAGTTAGGGCACACGTGGAGTTTAAGTAATTAATGTATATTTTGAGTAATATGGTAATTAATAAATGCATATATGGTAATTAGCTGTATAAAGTGAATTCGTATGGAAATCGCGAATTAGGAAAACAAATTCGCGAATTGCAAAAATTGAATTCGCGGATTTTGTGCGAATTCGCTCCCAAATTGCAAATTCGCGTGTGGAGCTTGAGAGCGGGGCCTCTTTGGACGAATTGTGTGACTAAGATTGGGAGTTAGATTCACAACCTAGTAGAAAATCATTCCATCCAAATTCACACAAGTTTTTGTAAAACTAGGTTTTTCAGTCTTAAGTTGGAGAAAATAATCCTTATTGTAGATAGCTTTTAAAAGGGATTCTTTTGTTCGATGTTTCAAAACAAACCTTGCAAAACCATGCAATCCTTTTAATGTCATTGCTTTTAACCATTAAACCAATTCTATACATGTGACATGAGTTCTTGGAAATATCTGCTATAGGCATCCCTCTTAAGAACTCCATGAGATTGTTGTGCATCTCGCAGAATAGACACTTGGTTATTCAAGCATTTAGCTATATTTTTTTATTTTCGGGATCGTGGAACCCATCCTAATACCTAGGTGGTACTAGATTGGAATTTTTCCATTATATATTTGAATTTCATGATTTCCAAGTAGACCATGAAAAATGTAAGTTTTTTCAAAACTAAGTTGTTTTTATTTAAAGTTTTGAAAATTCATACTTTCTAATTACAAAACCAAAATCCAAAATTATCAATTATAAAATAACTAATAAATAAAGAGTATATGCTTTAAATTTCCATAAAACATATATTTTTTGTGAATTCAACTATAAGCATGCATTCATAATTCAAGATTTAATTATATTTACATGTTTACTGAAATCATGAAAAATAAAATAAACAATATGTATGAAGATGGTAGAATGAATTTGCAAACAAGTGTATGCAAATCAAAGCTTTAATAAGAGTGACTAGTTTAATAAGAGTGCCAACCGCCTTTTGAGAGAGACTAGTTTTTCTATCAAGCAAGCTTTTTATCAAACTTCTCACCCACTGGTTCCAAGGCAGAAGAAACCCTTGATGAGATTCCCAAAGGAAGGCCGTAATATTTCATGGCAAAAGTTCCAACATTTCACCCCAAAATATTTGCTAGCACAAGAGTGACGAGAATATAATCAACCTCTTCCACTACCACAATATCAATCTTTCCAATATTGATCTTTAGTCTTGACACTGTTTGGAAGCAAATCAACACAAATCTCAAGAACCTCAATTCATCTTCTACTGCATCACAAAATACAATAGTATCAGTCTGCAAATAGAAGATGGGATACTTCTAGTTGAGTGCTTGCCTCTCGACGCACCTCAAACCCTTGAATGTAACAAGAGCTTCCCTCCTTCTCATACTTCAGAAAGCTTCCATCACAATAATGAACAAGAAAGAGGACAATGTATCTCCTTGTCTCAATCCTGGGGAGCTACTGAAGAACCCTGTTGGAGATCCACTCACCAGGACCGAAAGTTTTACAGTTAAAATGTATAAATGAAACCATCTAATTGCTTAACAAAGCCCAACCTCCCCATAATGTAAATCAAGAAGTCCCATTTAACATATAGGCCTTCTCGTTATAACTTACACACGATTCCCAAAATCCCACTGGAACACACTTATTTACTGGCAATTAACACTGGATCCAGTATTTGACAGCCTCCCATAAAAGTTTAATCATATAGAAATAACTACGGTAACACATTATAATATTTGATTTAAAATAAACAATTATAAATTTTCATGGTGGCTGTACCCCATCCATATGGGATAAAGGCAAGGATGATGATGATGAATTATAATATTCATGGATCATCATTTTTTATCATACAATGTATGAAATTTTTTAACGTAGTTGGAAAAAAAAAAATTATATTTTGATAAACTAGAGCTACTCTTCCGAGGATGCTGGGAGTGTGCTAGACCTTTACCGAGGCCTGATGTCTTATGGATATTTTTTCTGCTACTAACTTTTTGAAAATCCGTTAAATCATTCTTATATTCCAGTTAGTTATTTGTGAAGTTTGATTTTTCAATTATGATTAAATCTCAATCAGTCAAGTCACAAATAAAGAGTAAACAAAAAGTAATAAAGAGTAGTGAAGAGCCTAGACACAAGATTTTTATGTGAAAAAATCATAAAGAAAAAATAATCACGGGACCTAGTCAAGTCAGACACAATCCATTATTGAGAAAGAGATTACAATTGGGTTACCAGTTCACTCAGCCTTGAACTCAGATTTGACACAGATGAAGCCAAACTATCCCTCAAAACTCTCTAGGTTGTCCGTTCGCTTGTTTACAGCACCTGCTCTTCACGAACCTGCCCCCATGATTTATGCTCTGATTTTGGTTGGTTGAATACGATCAGACTGATGATCTTTTCCTCGACGAATATTCAATCACACATAGAATGGTCTATGGAAACCCTGGATTGAATAAAACAGTTTTTTCTCTCTTGGACTCTATAGATGATTAGAGATATTTTCCTCATCCCTGGACTGGCTATAACCATATATTTACAGCGTATGTAGGAGTCCTATATGTTTTAGGCAGTTGAAATCTTGTAGAATTGTATTTTGAGTGTGTCCAAAAATATCGGTCTGTCAAGTTTGAGCCTTCGGTCAAAGGATACTGGAAACCTTTCAATCGTTCGACTATTCAATGGATACATTCTGGTTTTAAAAGAAATTTCACCTGCAACACTTTCGATAGACTGACCATTCAGTTGATGCTCAATTGCTCATTGAAAATAGTAAATTGATTGATGCACACTATAAATCCAGTTTCGAAAAACGTTTAAAACTTAAGTTTTGAAAAGCAATTTGTTTGGAAGTTTTGAAAAGCCATTGTCTATAAACATTTTTGTAAAACTTAATTATGAGCCCAACCAAGATCAAATTAGGTCAAATGGGAGTCATACCAATGTCATTTACCTGTAATTTAATTGTGTGATTTAGTGCCGGATATTCTGCGTGATCTTCGCAATTTTGTGTCTGTTATGTCTGTATTGGATGTCATCATACTACTCAAAAAAGAAGGAAAAGAAAAATGAAATTTGCCTAAATCAGTTTATTTTATAGCTGACTTAAAAGAACAGCTGTTGAATCAAAATGAGAAGATACTCTCGACATCAGTATCATCTGTAGGACGTCTAAGTTGGTCTTGATCTTAGATTAACAATAAATTTTGGCTCTTGGATCCTGATTTATCAACAAGAAACAAAAAAAGTAACATTCTAAGTCTATATAATAGAATTGGTAGAATCAAAATCGAATCAAATCAGGATCCCACGATTCTTTCAATCCTATAGGACTCTGTTAAAATTATACCCTTTTGGGATTTTTCATGGCATCAGGATTGGTTCAGTATTTTTCGATTGTAAAATTGTAGGATTTTAATAGCTATGGTGGTATTGTCGTTGACTGGATTAAATTAAGTGTTAAAATTATATCCTTCTGGTATTTTCCATGGCATGATTGGCATCAGGATTGGTTCAATTTTTTTGGATTGTAAAATTTTAGGATTTTAATAGCTATGGTGGTGTTGTCATTGACCGGATTAAATAATAGTGAGATGTGAGTGTTATGTTTGTTGATTTGTTTTGCCAAAAAAATTGGATTGTAAAATTGTAGGATTTTAATAGCTATGGTGGTATTGTCGTTGACTGGATTAAATTAATAGTGTTAAAATTATATCCTTCTGGTATTTTCCATGGCATGATTGGCATCAGGATTGGTTCAATTTTTTTGGATTGTAAAATTTTAGGATTTTAATAGCTATGGTGGTGTTGTCATTGACTGGATTTAATAATTAGTGAGATGTGAGTGTTATGTTTGTCGATTTGTTTTGCCAAAAAAATTGGAGTTGGTGATGTCAAATGGTGGTAAAGCGGTGTTGGGCAAGTGGTGGTAGCCTTTGGGGGTTTGGTTTGATGGAAGATGCAGGGAGGCAGAGAAAGTTGGCTGTTACTTGTAAGAGAGAAAGTGAAGAAAGACAGAAGAATGATACTACTAGCTCTAGATGAGGAAGGTTGTCCTGATTTTTAATTTTTTAATTTTTTTTTTTTTTATGAGTAAAGGTTGTCCCAAATTTTGAAGGTAGAGTGAGTGGATTTTGGCATGAGGGGGGAAGTATTAGGAGGTTGAACTTGCATCGCAGGCCTCTTAATTGAGTTTGTTCAAGATGAAGTGATATTGTTGTAATGTTATTCTTGATTTACTGTGAAGGTTGCTTTTCCCCCGCGTGTGTGTGTGTGTGTGTGTGTGTGTATTAACCATTTATCCTTGACAAACTAGACAAGTGTCATCCGACAACCAACAGGCCAGTGGCCTAGCGGTACTAGACCCCTATTTTCTAAAGGGAGGTCAGGAGTTCAAGCCTCAATGGAGGCATGTGTGTGTGAGTACCAACGAAGGAAAAAAAACAAAAAAAAGTGTCATCCGGCTATTAATTATTTTTTATTTTTTCATATAAATTCCAACTCAAGACTATAATTGGTTTCCAATGATCTAACATATCAAAATACTAGCTGGGACCCATTAAATTATTATTACTATTTTTGTAATAATTAATAACATTAATTATATTTTCTTTGGTCAAGCCAACGCACCTGGGCCTATGTAAAAAATGCTTAATTGTAATGCCATTATTATCAAATTTAAATTTATTAGTTCATTTATCTTAAATTTGATGGGTCGTTACAGTTTATTTTTTAAATTTTGTTTAAAGTCTCTTTTCCCCTCTCTAATTTGTCATTGGATTCACAGGTCGTGGAACTTGATTTTCTTTATCCAAGCGAGGGCATACATAAACGTTGGGATAGTGGTTATCGAATTACATCAACTGCTGCTACTCTGGATCAAGCTGCTCTAATCCTGAGTGTACCCAGGCGCAGACCTGGCGATGAAACTCAGGAGACTTTACGTACGTCTCAGTTTCCAAGCACACATGTTAAGGTAATTACCCGGTACAATTTATGATTTGTGGGATTGTGGATCCATGTGTTGGGGGGTTGCTGTCCAATAATATTTTCTCACTGGACTTCTTTTTTTAATATTCCTCAAAAGAAAATAGATTTATTTGCATGATTGTGTCTAGTAAGTTCTTTAGTGGTCAGTGAGGTTTTATCTTCTCAGGTACTGCTTTCTGATTTTGATGTTATTCTTTTGGTCTTAGTTGTGGCCCATTAGGGCTAAACCTTAGCCCTAATGGGGTTTCAGTGGTGTGATACTTGTAAATAACTGGATTTGAATTGCACTCTTGTATTTGAATTGGGATCAGTACTGGGAAAAATAACGGCTTTATTCACATCATAATTTAGGGGAAGATAGCTGTTCTAACATCAATGTTCCTGTGTTTGTATTTCCTTATATTTGGTTGCCTGTAATTTGGGCAGAATCGTTCAGAGGTTCAGCTAAAATTTATTAAAATCCAAAAAGCGTTCGCCAAAGAACATTTGGATGGATAAGTGGTTTCATTTATTTATTTGTTTATTTGGATGAGCGGTCGTAGATCTGACTACCTTGACTTTGGGTTTATGTGCAGGAGAAATGGGCAAAGAATCTCTATCTTGCTTGTGTGTGTTATGGACGAACTGTATCTTGATTCCCGTGTAAATGGAAGATGGATGTCCTTGTCAAGAGAAGCCTGGAGTTTGAGTTTGTTGTTTCATCTTTTGTTGCCTTATATTATTATTTAAAATTGATGGTAAGAGTTGAGGTGTATCAGCAGAAATGGTGCTTACATGTATTCATAGTTGATCCAAGGATATGTATATTTGGCTCTTCCTCAGCTCGTGCATATTGGCATTTAATTGAATACGACTTTGTTGTTGCAATTGTAATTACTGTTGGTGGTGGCAAACATGACTCGCATTTGCCGTGAAAGATCACAAGAGTAATGTTGCATATGAAGTAAGGTTTTGATTTTATCCAGATTCTTTAGATTGTAGGAGGCTTTTTGAGTTGTCAATTTGCAAGTGTGCATGGCTTCTTTTGCTGGGATTTTAAGTTTTTATGCTCTCAAGGGAGGTTGGTAATTGTGTTCTTGTGAGCTGCAATTGCAAGTGTGCTTGCCTTCTTTTGCTGTGATTATTTTTGTTAGATTTAATGCTCTGAAAATTTGGTAATTGGGTTCTTGTGAGTTGCTATTGTGATTTGCGCATAGAACTTCTTAGGGGTAGGTTAAAAAAGAAAAAAAATGAACTTCGGGTTGGTTATCTGCTCATGTCTTGACTTTTATTCTCCCATTCAGCTCAAAATTACTTTTAAAGCCCTACTGTACTTATGTATGTGTTAAATGATTGAACCTGTAGTGTTTACTACTTACAAAATCACCCCCCCCCCCCAAAAAATAAATAAATTATTTCATTCCTTGAGTTGGAAATTAAGCCTTGGGAATAATCTGGTTACTCATGGTCCAAAAGTGGAAGTTTCCGTCATTGGCTTTAGCAGTTATCCGCTCTGCATGCGTTTGGCTACCTTGTGTTTTCCATTGGCATGGTAACTGGCACATCAGAGGTGTGTCCTTCCCATTCCTCTCATTCTAGGGTAAGGTCCTCCAATGCTCTAACTTCCACATTGGATATGGACTCAACTATCTCACGACATTCTGAACCTTGTTCATGAACCGCTTTAATGGGCGAACAACCCAACCCTTGGAACATGGAACATGCTACCGCCACACCCTTGGAACATGGAACATACTACAACACAACTATCTCACGACATTCTGAATCCTGTTCATGAACCGCTTTAATGGGCGAACAACCCAACCGTTGGAACGTGGAACATGCTACCGTCACACCCTTGGAATATGGAACATGCTACAACACCAGGTGGCGAAGAACCGTTGCCAAACCTTTGGGTCGATGTGAACTCTTGGTACAGTCATAAGACTCACAACAGTCGCTAGGCCAGCACATCAAATGTGGTTGAAATGTGAATAACGAGGGGCAAAAAAATGGGGAATCATCACATCAAATGTGGTTGAAATGTGAATGAGGGGCAAAAAAATGGGGAATAAGAATGAACATATTTTTGCAACAACTGGAGTAACATTCATTAGAACTTTTGATTAAGATAATTTGACCAACAAAAATCAACAACTGCAAATAATATACTCAAATGAATCTATTAGTATGGACCATAATCTAATGGTTTCTCTTTTATCTTTGGAGGTGGAAGACAAGGGTTTAAGTTTTCTTAGAAACAAATGGATGTAAAAGTTTTTTGGCAATAAAAAATAAAAAATAATAATAATAAACTAATGTCCTTTTTTTTAAAAAAAATTATGTAGAATTGATTGTCGAAACCTATATGATCCGTTTGGACAGGCAGAGGGCTAAACAGGCATGCTGACATATTTTCTGGGTAATTCCGAAATATCTATTTTTGACCCAAAAGGAGATTTTTAAAATTTTTTATTTTTATTTTTTATACTGGAAACGGGCCAACTAGCAAAACTCACACGTATGCTGTGATGTACACTATTTTTCAAAAATAAGTTTTATTTTTTTATATAGGAAGTCTGCTGAATATGTCTAAATGAATTCAGATTGCTCTCAATAGTTTTTATTAATTATGTTTCTTACTATACCTTTCTATAATTCTTAGAGAAATTTTATTTTTAAGCTTATTTTTCTTTCAAGATTAAGTTTTCTTATGTTATAAGATTTTTTATTGCAATAAATTTTCTTATGATTTAAAATTTTCTTTCATTATAAATACATGTAATGAAGAGAGGAAAATTACCAATTCAATTATCAATACAATATCATTTTTTCTGAACTTTATCTTTTATTCAAAGTTTTTTTTTTTTTAGTTGAATGGGTGAGCTTTCTTTTAGTCAAAGTTGTTTATCATTTCTTGTAGAGACTCTTAACTGTTGCAATGGTAAGGACATAGTATAGCACGTGATTTAACTGATTTGACATCAAGAATTATGGAATTGAAATGGAGACGTGCAATGGGAGGACCACCATTTGAAGAAGAAGATTGGTAAAAAAAAAAAAAAAAAAAACATAGCACCTCAACCATCGGTGTCTATTGTTCCCTAGGAAAATTCCTTGCAGAGACTGTTTTCATTTCATTACTTCTTTATTTTATTATTTTTATTTTTATTCATTGAATGAGATGGAGTTCTTACTTGTTATACCCCAATTTCTAAAAGGACCTTTCGTACAAATTAATCCTCTAATAAAAAATTAAAAAAATAAAATCACTACAAACCATTTCTTTGACCTTCGTATGTACAGACATGATGGGAATGGAGCACCTTCACTGGAAAATTTCGATATGTTTTATATTTCTCTATATATACACTCATCATACTAATATCCCATGTTTACAGAGTGTAAGCGCGTACTACAGAGAAGCTCGTCCCATTAACCGGTGCCAAAGAAGAGCACCGCAGGAAGAAAGTAGAAGACTATGAAGCTATAATCTTTAAGGACTTGGTAACTGTCAAGTTTTGTCAATGTATATATATTCTAAGATTCGAAGCTCGGGTTCTTAATCTCTCTCCAGAAATGAGAAGCTGGCAATGAATTGTTGATTAAGTTTAATCAGTAGTATGTTAAAGATCGAACAGGCCATAAATCTTGTATTTTTTTTTTTCCCCTCCATAAATCTTGTATTTGGGGAAGTCTAATTATAATGTCACTAATTTTAAGTTTGCCGCTAAGCTGCTGATAAAGCGATTATTACAAGACATGCTTATCTAAAAATCATTAAGTCATTACAACTACAAGATATAATTGAAAAATTAAATGCCTATGAAATTGTGGATTCCAAACAATTAAAACAAATTATTATTAGAGAAAGAGACTTTACTTGTGTATGAAAATTTCCTAAATTTTCTGGTAAACCAAACAGAAAATTCACCAGTATGAAGTGGAGATGAGAAGTTTGTGGCAGCATTGTATTGCATGCAAGAAACTAGTTTTTGCTCTTATAGTTGTGGACAATATTCAGCTGCCATACGAGTATGATGCTTCGATCATAGTCATATGAAAAGGGCTCGGATTCTCCATACGCGGATTGATCCCTGGCTTCTCTCTGCATACCATAATGTGGATGGTACAAGCATGTCCCAGGCTGCATTATGTTCAATTAATTGAAGCAAATTAAGCATTCATATATCACATGTCAAAGCTCTATAAGTAATGATAGTACCAAAATGATGCTGCAAAATTAAGCTTGTAAGTTTTAAGGCCACTACAAACATACCCTATCAACAACAAACTGGTATGTGAAGGTGTCTCCTGGCAAAATAGGACATTTGAGTCACTCATTCTGTTCCTTCCTGCAATAGTTCACAAAAATAAGGGCTCACTATTCTGTTTTCGGAGTTTTTTTAGAACTAATTTTAGAAAATTGAACCAAGCAGACCGGTATTCATACAACATATATAAGCAATATAAATCCAACCCAAATGCTCAATATGATCAAGAATTGGATACCTGTTTGATTCCGTGCCAATGGATCGCGGCATTCTGAGTTAACAAACTGTTGGTTAGCTCCATGCACTACGATTGTATCATTTTGTTGTTCTATGATTGAGGGACCTGGGGTTCTCCCATTAATGGCTATAACCAGTTTCTTGTAGCAATCAGGAAACTGGTACTCATACTTCACCTCCCACATGTATCTACAAATTCTTGTTTTGGCTAATGGAACACTACTTAATACTGAAACAAAAAGGCACAAAGCCCTAGTTTTGCTCTTGTAGTTGTGGACGATATTGGACATGACCCGTCCGACAAGAAACTTAGCTGCCGGTTTTGCTGGTCCCATTGTAATATGGATGCGTATAGATTAGTAATCAACATATATTCATGTGATGGGATATAAAATCTATGGTTTCTAGGAGAAAGATATGCAATGACAGAGATGATATATATATAGAGGGAGAGACTAGAAGACTTGCTCTAATTAATGCCGGATTGGAAGCCCATACAAGGTTTTGGGAGAGGCAGGGGCACGGTGCACCGCGGTGTTGTACATGTTGTACACAGTGCGAGCAAGTATTGTGCACGTACAACTCAGATGAGCCGACACACCGTGCACTGAGCACACCCAATATCTACTTCATACAAGTTTGCTGCGAATTAAATTTCTTAAAGGCTATGTTTAGTACAGTGAAAAAGAAAAAAAAATAATAACATCAATTAGAAGAGAAAAGAAAAGGAAGGAAATGAAGGAGAGAAGAAAAGAAAGGAAATGAGACAGCATTGTTCACCACTCATCATATTTGGTTCATTAGCAAAAAATTAAGCTTGTAAAATGAAGTTTTATGGCCACTACAAACTTACCCTATGAAGGGGTGTCTCCCGGCAAAATAAAAATAGTACATTGAGTCACTCCTTCTGTTCCATCCAACCAAGGTGTTCCTTTCTGCAATAGCTCATTCTGTTTTCGGAATCTAACTGTTTTCAGAAAACTAAATCAAAAAACATATATATAAGCAATTTAAATCCAACCCAAATGCTCAATATGATCAAGAATTGCATATATACCTTTCTGATTCCGTGCCAATGGATTAACAAACTGTTGGTTAGCTCCACTATGATTGTAAGTATCATTTTGTTGTGCTATGATTGAGGACCTGGGCTTCTCCCATTAATGGCTATAACCAGTTTCTTGTAGCAATGAGAGAACCCCAGGTCCCTCAATCTCAGCACAACAAAATGATACAATCATAGTTTTTCGTGGACGACATGTCCACATGATCGATCCGTCAGACAAGAAACTTAACTGCTGGTTTTGCTGGTCGCATTGTAATATGGATGCATATAGGTTAGTAATCAACATATATATATATATATATATATATATATATATATATATATATATATTCATGTACGTTGTTGTTGGATTACTAATCTTACTCTCAGAAACCGTATGGAAGCTCTCCTAGCCTTGAAGGACTGGGAATATAATCCATCATCTCCTCGACCGCCAGACTGCATCAACTGAGGGAGAAGAGAGACACAAGGGAGAACCGGTGGGGTTGCTCTAACCATGGGATTTACTCGTTTTTTGAGTTGACCTGCTGTACATGGTGCTATGCAACAGGTTTGGATTGATGTATTGGGACTATTAAGCGTGGTCCTCACCATAACATGTAAAATATAAAAAAATATAAGATAAAATACGAATACGAATTCGAATTTAGGTGAGTATACTAAAGGATGTTTTTGGACATTTAATTAACAAATGTGGTAGTACGATGATAATCTTGTTACATAAACGGCAAGATGAGGAACCTTTTTCCTGGGCCGGCTTGGGCATGGACCGCTAGGCGGTCTCCTAAGGCCTCCAATATAAAAGGGCTCAAAATTTGAAGTTTTCTTATATAACTTATATTATAATTATTTCTTAAAATCATAAAACAACTTTTTATTTTGTCTCTTTTATCTTTTCTCATCGTTCACATTTTGTAATTAAACTTTAACCAATACAGAAATATTGGGCCAATCACACTTATTTATTTATTTATTTATTTCTATCCATCTCTTCCTCTATCTCCTCCTACAGAATCTTAATATTGGTCCTAAATATTTATATTCTTAAATAAAAAAATTTTCTCTCTCTCTCATTCACAATTTTTACAACACTAATTTTTTTTTTTTGTTAAAATATACCCGTAATATATATTAAATATATATTTAACCATTGTTTGGGAAAGTGCTTTTACTCCATCCATCCCTTATTAGTAGTCCATTTTTTTTCTTTTTACATGTCCCAAATTAGTTGTCCTCTTTGAAAAGTCAAAGCATTTTTTCATTATATTTCTATCATTGTCCTTTATCTTTTTAAAAAATTTCAAACTTTGGAAATATATATATTTAATGTTTGAAGGATAATTTAGTAATTTGAAAAGGAGACAATGCATTAATTGCATGTCCCCATAAAAAGTTATAAAACCAAGAATGGACAACTAATAAGGAACGGATGTAGTATCTTTTAATATTTTTTCTCTTATTCTTATTCCTCACATACTTTCTCTCATCTCTTAACAAATTGTCTTTCTCCTTTTTCATTATAAGTTTATAGTTCTCTTTCTTTTCCACTCAATACTCATTACTCTCAATTTGAACCCATTTTTACTATATTGAAGAATTTGTACGAGCATTGGATTGGAGTTTTGTAAATCAAATTCTATTGTTATTTTTATTTTATTTTATTAACTTTTATTATTATAAATTTATGTGTATATATATATATATTTCTATATATTAGCCAAACTTAAATACAAGAATCTAATTAGTAATTTTGCATTTTACAAAATAAGAAAGATGATTTTTAAATAAATATTATTTAATATTAATATATTATTAAAAAAAAATCGCTTAAGGCGCCAAACTATTTCGAGCCGCCCTTGGCGCATATCATATCTTTTTAATGAAAATTTCGTACTCCTATAAATTTTTTGAACGGGTGAAACCTTATGTATAAAGTCCTCGCATTTAAAACTTTGCCTAGAACCTCTCAAAATTTTGGAATTCTCGTGGCCGGCCTGCCTATTTCCCGTACTTGCTTGAATTTTTTACTTTTCACTTCATTCCAATCTTGTCCCATGATTAAATTAGTAAATACCCATTTTACTAGAAGCAAGCACAAAACGAGTCAAGATTCACAATGTTGTAAATCTGCACAACCCATTTAAATCTAATTTTAACAAATTTAAATTTACTTTTTGGTCAGATTTAACGTATTAAAATTAATTTTAGTTATGTTAAAAATTAAAAAATTGAAACCCTTGCCACCCTAGTTGTATTTTTTGCCGCCACCACAAGAAGATTGGTGCTCTAGTAGTCTCACATAACAAAGCAAATGTGATTGAAACCTAACTCTTATCCGCTTAACGTGCACACATATGTGTACATATACATAATACAGATTGATCTTGCTGTTAGAGTGCTCAACTTCTCAAGCTGGAAGAGTGTGCCATTCCCCTTATTTTCCAAGATAAAAAAATTTAAAAAATCAAAGGCCTGCTCTCAGCCGAAGGAAGAATTGACTCGCCACAGCAGTCCATGTGTTATTTTTAGTACAAAAAAAAAAATCAAACTGAACTCATGGAACTCTTAAATTAACCAAATAAAAATGTAAGGAATGGCAGCCCGTGGTCACTGTAATTCGGCATAGCTTTCCTGACAAAAATACACACAATATATAGTTCATTTTGTTTGGTTATGTAGAAAGGAAACTAAAAAATAATTTTTTTTTACCATATGACCATAATGCCATCATAACATAGAGTTGGACTCAGAACTATACCTCAAACGCACAGTCCAACCCAGATCCATACACCCACCTCACGACCCTATCAGAAAACAAATATAAATAAAAATAAAAAAATAAAAAAACAAAAAACAAAAAACAAAAATTGCTCACTACATATGGTGAATTCACCTTCCAATGTTAACTATACAAAAATAATAATAATAATAATAATAATAATAATAATAATAATAATTTAGTACTGAAATGAAGAACATAGAAGGCCAAATTTGGGTGTGTTGGAACTCAAAATTATGGCTGAAAATTATGGCTGAGTGTTGGGCAGCCTAGTGAGAACAGAGTGCTCTGGTTTGTGATCGCATTCAAAATCGAGATGAACAAATGCACGTTCCACTTCAGGAAGTTTCTCTATATTTATCTGCAGACTCTCCCCTATCGCATGTGCTTCTTTCAAGGGCAGCTCTAGTGGGAGTTCAATGTCAACCTATTTTTTGACAGAAAAAAAGTAACGCAGAATGTTTATTCTCAAATGGAATTATATCAAATTACTTCCATCATGTAATTTAAGAAATTAGATTTTAAATAATAGGAACTATTCAAGAAATAAAATCAATTTCATGCTGATATCAAAAGAATGAAGTAAAAATGTTTCTAAAACCATAATGTAAAGCTAAGTTTCTTCAAGACAACCTAAAAACTGCACATATGACTAACCTCCACAAAATACAGAACACCAAAAGTGTAAGCACGGACTGTGTCAATACGCTGGACATGAGGGTGCCGTATAACGAGGTATGTCAATTTCTGCAGGACTTCAGGAGGGGCCGTCTGTCCCACAAGTGATGCTGCATCAAGAAGCCTCGGATTAAATTGAAGTTTTACACACGGATATTTGTCCAAGAGGAGTGTTGAGTGTGTTTCATAAGATATCCAAGTCTTTGAACAGAAAATATGAACTTTCACCACAGTAAAATCTATGTTGATTTACTTGCTGTAAAAATTCTTGCCTAGCATTAAGCCAAGTCAATTACTTGCTAACTCAAGATACGTATAGATACATTTTGAAAAGACTGAATTTCCTTTGTTCTAAGATTATGACGCTACCATATGTTTTCAACTTTGCAGGGAGGGTCCTTTTAAGTAGATGACTCGTCGGGCCGTTGGAGCGGGACTTAGTATAACTTGCAGGATATAACTTTCAGTTCATCCCACCACGCAAGGGGAAGCAAGCATGCATTTCTTACTGCTAAAGGTGAAACTACGTATCAAGTGCACAACAAAGGAAAGATTTTCGAATCTGGTAAATTGAGAATGCTTTAAGATTAGTTAAGTAATTTAAACTACTAGTGGATACAATGAGATGAAGATTTTGTGAATGAATCACTGAAAAACTATCATATATGTTAGGTCAGCGGAAGCAAATGGAACATGGAGTTCCAACAAAAAGCCAAAAAAGCAATCACACAACCAAAGCACAAGATTTACAACATGAGAGAATACAAAACACCAGACTGTGTACACAAACTCTTATCCTAGAGATTTTCACTGTGTACCACTCCATGAGACTCCCCCTCGCCATCAATGTTCTCTCCACTCTACCAATCCGTAAACTCCATCTACCAATTAATTCTCTCATGAGGCTACATCTCACTCAATCTCATAAGCCTCAAATCCATAACCTAGGTATCTATTTATAGAGATCATAACCCAATTCCTTGTTGGACGAGGATTACAATAGTTGGAGCCCAAAACTTGACTAGCACGAAATTACCTAATAAAATACAACTCTAAAAAAGAAACCTAACTAGAATAGAATATGAGACACAATACATGACAATATAAGACTACTGCTTCTTTATTTTTTATTATTTATTTTTTTTTTGAGAAGTCCAATATAAGACTACTACTTGAAGATCCTTATGTTCTTGTATCCTTGGAATGAAAGTGAGAAAAACATTACTATTTTAATCTTAAGCTTTTGGAGATAAAGCATATTAATAGTGTCTGATCAGATGGTCAGTTAGCTATTGGAAGGTGCAAACACTTAAGGTTACATGATCTCTAACAACATATAATTTTAGAGTGCACTTGGTGGTTAACATGGTAAGCAATTGAGCTATGAAGGTCTTTAATTCAACTCTCACCATCACCCTAGTAATTACAATTAATATGCACGTCGAACCAAAATCTGACCACACATGAGGAGGCATGTTAAAAGTATATAAATAGTTAAGGTAAACCCTCTTTAACAGCTTAGGTTTTTTAGAATAAAGAAGGGTGGGTAAGTTGTTATAAAAGGTGACGCTGAAGAAAGTTAAGGATTGAAATTTATAAACTATAATACGTTAGGGTTCTTTATATCATTTCCATTTTTATCTTAATACAAAAAGAACTAATGCAGATTTATTTATATGAAGTAAAAAAAAAAAAAAAAGAAACAAATATTTGGTAGCAGCAGCAGCTACCTGCATTTTCCAGAACAGTCCCGGACCAATTTGAGATTGTATAAATTGCAAGGATAATAGCACCGGAAGGGTCAATCCACCAGTAGAACATATCACCAAGAAGGGCTGCTACTAACCCAACTACATTTGTTATCACATCAAAATAGTGGTCCTGGAAATTAAAAGTCAAAGAAGATAAACAACTCGGAATATTAAAAGCAGAAAGGTTAAGGTCAAAATTTGTGCAAAGTACCTTCGCATAGGCACGGACAATCTTGTTTCCGGAGCTTTTGCAGTACAGCCAGAGGATAAGTTTTACAACAGTAGCAGATATCATGATTGTGCACAGCCATATGAGTTGATTTAAGGTCATCTTTTTAGAAGGTTCATCTTTAACTAGTTCTTCTACAGCCTGAATCAATACCTGAAAACCTGTAAAAATGGGAAGGTTTACAGCTTCAATTCTAAGGAATCTACACTAAATATTAGGTAGGACTGAGATGCCCGTCATTTAAGTACTGCTAATAATTAAGAGAGTATGCTCCACAAGTTTGGTCAATAGAAATAATGAAGTTCTGATGCGATCAATAAATTATCAAAAGAACACATCTTAATGAAGCATATCACATCTTCTGAGGACCATTATCAATGATGTTAAAAGTAGTTTCTAAATCTTCTTGTTAAACAATGTACCTATGCTATACAAGAAATTGATGCCTTCTTTCTTATTTCTAAAGTAATCAGCAGTTAGACCAATATCAACATGTCTATAGATTCAATTTTACAATGACTAGCTCAACCAGCAATAACAATGTTAGCAATCTAATAGCCACAACATGCATCCGGAACACTACAAAATAAGATGAGAGAGAGAGAGAAGTTAAGGTATTGGAATGCCCATATATAAGCCTTATCTTGTTTCTCTTTTTACCAAGTCATTTATGATATCTGCCAGTTTAAATACTTCATTTACAAGCCATAATTTAAACAATGAGCAACTTCCAGCTTAAATCCTTTTGCTGCAATTGGAAATTGGGCATCTCTCAACTTCTAAGTGGTAGGAATTAAACCCTGTTGCAGGTTCAGTTGCTTATAGTCTCCCACAAATCGGTTTAATAGAAAACTGACCTTCTGCGCACAGCAGAAACATTTTGCAAGCGCATTGTCTAATGCCTGAACATCTAATAGCTAAGCTATAAGTTTTATGTATGTATATATATTGTGGCGCCTGGGAATGTGTATTGCAAAAGAACAAGGGATCTATGTTACCCAAAAGAAAAGGTCTCAAACTATGTTGAGCCTCTCTACGCGCCTGATTCAGATCTACATATATGAGAACTGTTAACTACCATCTACTCTAAAAGCTTAAGCTGTTGGAGAGGGTGTAACTTTACTATTTAAATCCTTCAACACGTGTGGCCTATTTGGTCCAACACATGTTTTTCAATTTTAATTAGGGTAACGGAGAGGTTTGAACTCGATACCTTTGGCTCTGATATCATGTTAACTACCATCTACTCTAAAAGCTTAAGCTTTTGGAGAGGGTGTAACTTTACTATTTAAATCCTTCAACAAGAACATTGCAGACAAAGTGTTTCTGCTGGATCCTGCAAATCATCCCCATTTTAGGATTAAGACAACTGGTGAGAAAGCAAATCATCTAAGTTTGCCCGTTTTCTTTACATCTGAAAAGAAGAATTTCTTGAACAACAAAGGGAAACATTTACAACAACCCTGAATAATTTTCTCCTTTTTTCTTTTTTGTTATTACCTTGGCAAGAAACTCACACTTTTATCCCCTACTATGGGGACTTGAACCATCGACCTTCTACTTTGGAAACTACTTTTAAAGGTGGGGAAGTACAACTAGGCTACAGCCCTTGATGGTAATAATTTTATCTTATAACCCTTCATCTAAATCCAGTACTTCACACAGATGCCATATAGAGGAAGATACATAACTCACTGGCATAACTAACATAATTATTTTCTCGGGCAAAGTTTGTTATTCAGAACATATGCATAGAATGTGCTTGCGTGTGAATATTTGCCATTTGTTCTTCAATATTATTGAGAGGAGACAATCTAAGAGTCAATCATATTCAGAACACGAATTCAATAGACAATATTCAATGCGCAATCCTTTTTCTCTTTTCTTTCTTTTTTTTTCCCCCTTTTCTTAATATTAAATGCGCAATCCTCAATGGAAATAACGGCATGTTATAGCACAATGACATACCAAGTGTAGCCATGATAGCAGCAAAGACGATTATGCCTACTGGCTGTACCCTCAATTTTCCAATAGGATATTTGTAGATATTAATGCTCTTCATCGACAAGTGAGTAAACCAAAGAATGCCACCAGCCAGGAGATCAAGTAAAGAATCCAGTGTTGATGCAGCAATAGCTATGGATCCACTCTTTATTGTAGCATATAACTGCACAATAGAATGCATATGGTTATCATGACAACTGGAAAATACAACGGCATAACATCTTCATCAAAATATCAAAACAAAAAGGTGTGGAAGAAAAAGACGTTTTAGGGCCTGTTTAGTAATAGGAATTATTTCCTACTTTCTACTTTCAATTTTGAAAAAGCAAAAATAAAAGTAAAATGACGTTTATTAAATTACTTTCACTTTTTGATTTTGAGAAAGTAATTCCTAAATTTGTGAAGAGAAGAGAAAGTGAGATTTTCTCACTTTCTCTACTTCCTATACTGTGCGGAGGAAGTAATTTCCGCACTGTAGCGCTAAACACTGTAGCGCTAAATACTGTAGCTTTAAAACCTAAACTCCGTCTCGTTTATATCATCGTTCGCAAGCCTCTGCCTCATGTCTGCTTCAAGAAAGCCCTAGCCTCTCGCCTCATCTGCTTCAAGAAAGTTCTACCGATCGTCATCCCTTATCTGCGAGCGTCGATCGGCAACGGAGACTCAACGGCCGACCAACACATCGCCTGTAAGTTCGCCCTCTCTTCTCAGATTCTCTTTCTTCTCAGATGCTCTCTCTCCTTGTGTATGAAGATTTTGCCCTAGAATCTGCAATTTTCTTCCTGGATGTGTGTGTGTATATCTGTATGTGTATATCTATATGTGTATATATAACAATTTGTCTCAGTGCCCTCAAATCAAAGACCTCTTCAGCCCTGATTCCTTTGTTTTCGTTTGCTGAATGTGTATATATTTACATGATCTGTTTAAAATATTTCTGAAAATAGAAGAAGTGTTTAAAATATTTTTCATTGGCTGGATTTGGTGGTTGTCGATTTTTATAGATTGATTGTTTTATTGGTTGTCATTTTGTTGTGCATGTGAAATTTTATATATAAAGGCTTCACTTTTGAAAGTTCCTCTAACATCTCTCAAATTTTTTAGAATTTATTGCCTAACAAATTTATAGTTATAATGAATTACACTTAAATCTGTCATTAATCTATCCATCATGCTTTTGCGTGAATTCCATAGTGTTGGAAGGGGCTTGCCATGAACTACCTCACACTCTGCTTCCACTTGTAGATTATCAAAATAGGGTGTAAATTGGTCAAAAGAAGAGATAGGGTACTGAATGGTGAATTGTTCAGAAATAAATTGGTAATTTTTTTTTATGAGTTTAAGATTGATTGTTGAATTGATTGTCATTTCTGCGCATTAGATATATGTCGAAACCTATGAGTCCCAACTTCTAAGCTACCTACTTCTGTTTCAACTTGGCCAAATGGCTGGAATTTCTTATGTTTTTTCTTGGTGTGCGCGTGTGTGTGTTTGTGTGTGTTCCTGGAACTAGATTCTTGTTGATGGTACCTAATAAGATACCTATCCAGATCTACCAAGAAAATGAACCAATTTGAGATTGTCACAACACTATTCATATTGCAGATGACATGTGCCACATATAGCCAAATATGCTGAAGCAATTTTTCATTGCCCAAGTCTCACGAAAGTTTTGTCCTTATATATGTATCTTAGCATCATTATTGCATTAAATGCCATGCTAAATTTCCAGAGGCCTTCAAATGTGGTTTCTAAGTTTCTCATATTAATATATAGAGGTTACTTTGTAGACACATCTTGGAAAAAAGTATCCTGAAAATGGCCAAATATTGAATTAATTAACTACTAGAGACCATAGAATTTTTTTTTTTTTTTTACCCTAATCCAAAACTACTAGCAGAGGAAAATAAAGCAACACTTCTTCCACACACGATGACAAATGTGATGGGTCAATTTTTCTCCAAAACTTCCTTTTGAATGCCATTTGAATACATAATCATTGTTATAATAGACCCTGTTAAATGCTTTGAATGCTGAAATATGTTTTTTTACTACTATTTGGTACAACATACTTTATCATATAAACTGAAAATATGCATTTCAGAAAATAAATAATAATAAAAGAAGTAGAAATATGCCTATCTAAGTCTGCAAATGTTCTCTCTCTTTAAACTGCTGGTAATCTATAGTTACCATAAGAACTATGTAACTATAAATTGGATTTCTTTCTGATGAAAACTGTTTGATGTTGACTTGGGACTCCTTGGATACTTCTGAGATTCTCACTTGGAAAGTCTAATTAGTGTACTATATGCTTAGAATGAGGTTTCTGTTAAGTCTGTTAAGTTAATAATTATTTGAATAGCTTTAATTTTCAGTTTCCTCTTAGATACTCAAACCCTTACTCTGTGAACATGGTACTTGAACACTTAATGTAGAAGTAGAGTAGATAATAGTTACAATTTAAAAATTTTCAAATATTATATAGGAGTTCATTCACAGTATTATATGTTCAATGCTAAGTTGTAGAAGTGTGTTAATTGTTGTAGTGATGTATCAAAGTACTCAATTAAGTTGTGTTAGCCACTTTGGTATACAGTAATTATTCACATAGTATTAATTGTTGTAGTGATGGATCAAAGTACTCAATTATTGGATGGGGATAATGTGGTCGAGGATCAAAATTCTCAATTTCTATGGAGTGAAAAAAATGAAGAGATCTTAATAACTTTGATGGAAGAAGAAAGAAAGAATGGAAATCAAAAAGGCACCACATTTTCTACTAAAGGATGGAAAAATTTAGAAGAAGGGATGTTAAGGTTAACTAAAGAAAAGTATACGAACTTACAATTGAGGAATAAATTCAATGGGTTGAGAGACAGATATAAAGCATACAAAAAATTTCTATCCAACACTGGTTCATCATGGGACCCTGTAACTGGTCAGGTCACACTTACAGATGCCCAATGGGAGGAGATGGAAAAGGTTAGTTGGAATATATTATTTGTAATATTATCTATTGTTTCATATAAATTAACAATAATATATAATTGCAGCAAGTCAGGCATGCCAAGTGGTTTTGGAAAAAAGGGTGCAAACATTATGATCTGCTTAGTAACTTATTTGGTGATACATATGCAATTGATAATCGTGCTCATCCTTCAAATAGAAGCCCATGTATTAGTGGTGATGAGGGAGATGAAAATCCTAATGAGATCAATGAAGTGGTGGATACTTCTCGTCATAGGAGTCGGTCTCCTGACCTCACTCGTACAAGATCAACTAAAGAGAGCTTTCAAAAGACAATTTCCTCTGCTATGAGTGGATTTGGCGAATATTTTAAGAAAAAGGCAGAGGCACTAGACAAGGGTGGAGGCTCAAGTGGTATGTCTCAAGTTGATCAAGACTCCGCTAAAGTTACTGAATGCTTGCAAATCTTAGAAGACATGGGACCAATTGATGGAGACACATTTTTCAAGGCCCTAAAACAATTTCGTGCAGATCCGCTCTGGAGTAGAGTATTTGTTAACCTTAGTGATGAGAAGAAGCGGGATTGGCTTGAAAGGCTGCAACTGGGACTAGATTGATAGGCTGCAACATTATGTGTTGATGGGTTGCAATAGTTGTGTTTGTTTGAGACAATGTTTTTTTTTTTTGGTGTTTGTAATTTCTATTTGGGATTTGTTTAAGCTAGTAAACTTATGTCTGTGATTTAGAACTAGTAAACTTATGTCTGATGTTAAGTCCCTGGATTTGTTTTGCTAATGTTTATTATTTCTTTGCTTTAATTTGTGTCCTTTTTATTGTGTTAATCTGAGATATTATATATGTCATTTGAAGATGAATTTAGTGTTTTCCCCTAACTTTTATTGAATGCATTATCATTTTATGCATCTCATGTTTCATTGCATCAGGTTTACCATTATGGATCCCTTTTGTTTGCCTACTTTAATTGATGATGATGAAGAAAATGAAGAGGAGGAAATGGGGGTGTGTTTGTTGTTTATTTACATGTTTATAGAGTACATGGAACATTATATGCTTCCACCAAGACCATGTATGACTTCTATGCTTCAAGGCCATAATTATATACTTAAACTAGTAAATGGCCACCCCATTAGGTGTTATCGACTCTTTAGGATGGATAAACATGCATTTAGAAATTTATGTGAACGGTTAAAGGGATTGGGCTTGGAAGATTCTAGATACTTAACCGTACAAGAACAAGTTGCAATGTTCTTGTATACTCTAGCACACAATGAGAGTGTTCGAGTGGTGGCAGAAAGATATCAACATTCTACGGGGACTATGCATAAATATTTCCACCGAGTTTTAAAGTATGTTTGCAAATTAGGGAAGAGTATAATATGTCCACCAAATATGAACGAGGTACCATTGGAGATTCAACATAATGAGAAATACTTTCCATTATTTCAGGTAGTTTTTTTTAAAAAAATATTTTTACTTAATTAATTGGTATTGTGAATTTATATTTACTAATAAAATAATGTGTTGTAAAATTGCATTGGTGCAATTGATGGTACACACATCCATGCAAATGTCCCAGCATCTTCACAAATTCCTTATCGTGGAAGGAAATCAGACACAACACAAAATGTAATGGCTATTTGTTCTTTCGACATGAAGTTTACATATGTGGTGGCAGGTTGGGAAGGCTCCGCGAATGACTCAAGAGTATTATTGGAAACTATTTTTGATCCTACAATGAATTTTCCGTTGCCACCCGAAGGTATTAAATTAAGATATCATATGTTTAAGATATCATATTAAATTAGAAAAAAAGTAATTGTTTTTTGTTTGTGCAAGTAAGTATTATCTTGTGGATTCTGGGTACACCAATATGAGGTATTTCTTAGCACCTTATCGTGGCGAAAGATATCATTTACAGGAATATAGGGGGAGACGAATAAGGGGTCCTCATGAACTATTCAACTATAGGCATTCGTTACTGAGAAATGTGATAGAACGTTGTTTTGGTATATTAAAAATGCGTTGGCTGATCCTTAAGTTGATGCCTCCTTACAAACTGAGTGTACAAGCACTCATCGTTATTGCTTGTTGCACATTACATAATTTTATTCGTGATGAAGCCCGTTTAGATCGTCTTTTTGATTAATATGGGGATGAGAATGTCAATCTTCAAGAAGAAGAAGAAGAAGAAGAAGTGGAGCTAGGTGGTACTTCTCAAAGAGTAAATGTTACACATGAGCTAATTCAAGAGATGAGTGAAACCCGTGATGCAGTTGCAAATGAGTTGTGGAACAACTATCGTGATAGATGAATCACTTCTATTTGCTCATTATAATATTATCACTTTTATTAGGATTAATTTTCTATTTGGATATTGTAATATTGTCATTTTTTTTTGGATTAATTTTGTATCTAAATGCCATTTGAATTCATGTTATAATCTGCATGCTTTTGATATTATGTGTATGTTGGGCCGAAAAATTAGAGTTGTATTTCACTTGTTACTATACTAATATAATCTGACATCTTTTTATATTACATTGAGTAGCAACAATGTGACATCTTTTTCTAGTTACATCTTTAATTTAATGATGTTGTATGATATTGCACTTTTGATTCATTCCTAGATAAAATCCTATGATCCGAATCTGTTGATTTCGGTTTAACTAGTAGATCAACTATAGTATCCCTTAACTTTCATTCAGCTTATTTTTAAAAATTATAATCACTTTGATTTTTGTAGAGACTTTGTAGTGTCATGTAAAATTACAAAGTTCCAATTAACCCCCACAAATCTCAATAAAGGAAAGCAGAATTTTTCTCCAACACTCCAATTGAGCATATCTTAATAGAGTTCATGGCCCCATGGGTAGGGACTGAAAGGATCGAAAGAGAATTTCATTCTTGTAATATAAATTCCATAAAATGCAGAATAATTAGCATGAGATCTACTGTACCACATTGGAAATTTCAGCTAATTTTTGAAACCCCGGGTTCAAACCCCGGCAGCGGAATTATTTTCTAATAATTTTTCATTTTTTATTTGGCAATGAGCCATAAATGATTTATCTTTTTGTGAAAAATAAAATAAAGAGCAGACTAATGACATTTACTTTAATAATTGTGGAAAGGGTTTAACATAGGCTTAGCAATTATAGCCATGCATTACTAATATGTAAGTTTTGGGTGTAACCCAAAAAAATAGAAGAAATCATTAGCCTCAGTTTTTAAGTTGATTATGAAGGTTGAATTTGTTTCTTCTAAGATTAAATTTAATCAGCAATAATGTGAAGGCTAAAATAATACTGTAGCTTTATTTGTTAATAGACTTTTATAAATGCCAAAATGCAATAGATATAAAAAGATATAAAACAATGTAAATTACTAAAAGCAAAAACAGAAATTTATTATTTTTTACTAAACACACTTTCTTTGTTTTGCTTTCAAATTTCAAAAGTAGAAAGCAGTTTACTAAACACACTTTGTGTTTTACTTTCAAATTTCAAAAGTAACTCGCAGTTTACTAAGCATAATTTTACTTTCTGTTTTATCTCAAAGAAATCAAAATCATGATTTTACTTTTCGAAAAAGCGAAAGTAAGAAAGTAAAAGCGTTAGTAACGGGCCCTTAGTGTGCATGCTTTTATTTGACATGTTATCATCAGCAATGAATACTTTTATGTGCTTTGGTACAACATAATAAACTACATTTTAATTAAAAGAAAAAAAAAATGTTTTGCTGGACAAGGCATAGTTGAAGACAAACATATTTCCAATCCATAAATACTTTAGGGAAAATGCTTAGACCTATTTATTGGAGAAATTATTTACCAAAAGTTTTCACACTACAAAATGACAACTACACAAATTTACTCTAAACCCTCAGGCATCATAATATATAAAAACGCACCACCTGACTATCTCAGTCATATTAGGTAAATTTGATTAAAACTTCAAACAAGTAGAACTAAATCACCTTAAACGCCAACAATAAAATATTTGCAAAATTAGAGATCCTCATTGCTCTTTCATGTTGGCGTTGTTCTTGAAGGTCATCCTCATCAATGCAGTCAGATGTCACCAAAGTGTCAACTTCCTCAAATGATTTTAATGTTTCAAATTGCCTTTCATAGTATTCCCTTTCTCCTATAAACAGGGAATTTATGGATAATGAGAGAGAAGGAAAAAAAAAACAATTAGAATATTAGAGAGAAGGGAGAGAGAGAAGTTTTCGCCTACCACTTCCCTTCTTTTCGTAGGTAGGCAACACGCGAGCGCGCACACACCACACTGCCCCATGTTGAGCCCGAACTGCTCACGGCTCGCCTATTTATACAATTGTTGAACACATGCACTGTCTTTTTATGTACATTTTTTTTTTTTTTTCTGACACACAAGTTAATGTGCAGTCAGAGAACTGCCTCATGAACTGACCTCGGACAATAATTTAGTAGAGGTAATCAACTTACTACCATGTAAATATTGCCCATTAACCTATATGTTACCAATGCATAAATGGTTACAATTCAAGTTCACGAGAAGAAGAAACAAGCTTTCTTGAAAATATTGGAAATTCTAGTTTAAAGCAATCAAAATAAGTCCACTTTGTCATGCATATTGATTGATTGGTCCATGCATACCTGGTGATGAATTCTTTCTTCCAAGTGGTTCTTCCCAAGGACCTAAGCAGAATCAAGGTGAATTCATAAAAGAATGGTTTAGGTAGCTGACGTCTAATGCAAAAACCCTAATGAGATCCATTTGAACACAAATCAATTTTGACATGTAATACCCCGGATATCTATATAGGCTTTTAATCTTTATTTCTATTTGATTAACTATATTGGGAGAGTTATGTAATTTAAGGTTTTAGTGTGTTATTTTAATTCTTGATGTCATTGATTTAGTTGTGGGGAGATTAATTTTTTAAAGTTAGTGGGACATGTGTCACGCTAAGGTTGTTAGCAAATCTCATATAGCTTCCTTTGACAGCTCTGTTATAACCTCTTCATAGTTTGATGACATGCTGTATATATACGTGTGAATAGATAAGGCAAAGGAACCTTTTGGGAGCTAATATCCAGACGCATGTTGCCAGCACAAACCCAAACTGCACTCACACACAACAAGTGTACACACTATATCTACGTATTACTTATGCAAAGAGCTTCCTTTAGAAGCTATGTTTGGACCTCTTCAAGTATGGGACTTTCCGGGTGTACTAGTATTGGGAAGAAAATAACAGAGTGAATAAAGGAATGCAAGGAACAGAGGAAGAGAGAGATGGCCATGGGTTTATGAAGATGCAAGAAATTCCTTCTCCTCCTTCTCTCTCTAGAATTCTTACACCTCAAAACCCAAAAAGATCCCCCTCCATTTCATTCCATCTCCTATTTATAGATATTTACAAGATATTTACAAGATATTTACTAGATATTTACTGATTGCTGGATCTGGGCCTATTCCTTCGTAAGCCTTGGTCACCTTTGATGGGCTTACTCTCGTTCGGCCCATATGGCAGTGTCCTTCTATGGGCTGGCCCAGCTGTACGGACTGAATGCTATGTTTGCGAGTCGGATCTGGCCCATGTCATCCGGGGCCTCCTCAACTGCCCCCATAATTGCCCCTTATTTAATAAGGGGTAATTATTGATGGCGTCTCATCATGATGTTGACGGCTCGAGATAACCACGTGGGGGAGCGGACGGTCAGATCCAGAATCAATATTCCGGGGCTCGAGGGATTTCTCGCCTTCCCGACGCTTCGGCCCTCGGGCCCCCTCGCCTTTATAATGCTCTAGAATTCCACTTCACTTCCCTTTACCGTCTCCATCATCAGCCAAGTCTCTCTCTTTTCTAGAACAGTGCTAAGCTTTCTCTGGTGAAATCCTTCAAGAGTCATTCTTCCAGCGATCTTGCAGTCCTCCGAGGTTAGTTTCGTTCTTTTTACTTTCGGCAGGCTTCCATTTACCCTCTTGTAGATTCTTCTAGCACTTCCACCATGGTTGTAGATCTAGATGTTCTTCGTATGAGACTTAGACTTCCTGACAACATCGAAGTTAGGGTTTGCCCCCAAGACGTTAATATTACGACCGGCGCCGGCCTCCTGCCCGGCGAAGTCTTATTCATGAACCTTCAATTGAATGTTGTTAGGTTCCCTCTGCACCCTTTCTTTAGTTATGTCTTCAATAGATTGGGGATATCCCCTCTGCAGGTCAACCCCAACTTCTTTAGAATCATATCTGTTATGCTCTTGTTGATGCGTGACAGAAATCTGGACCTCGACCTCATAGACCTCCTTCTGTGCTATAAGGTGAGTAAGATCCGTACTAACGAGCCCTTCTACCACCTCTACCCGTTCGAGAAGATGTCCATATGTACTGACACAATAAAATCTGAAAAGGGTTGGAGGGATAGCATAGTGGGCATTAGTGGGGCTTGGTCTTCGCCGGCTGCAGAGGGTTACCCAATCCCGAGCGCCTTTGGTGTCTGCTCTGTCTCCTCCTATAAAAAATTCAAATCCCATAAACATGACTGCCCCTGTGAAACATGCGTTCCTCGTTTTTGCACTTTCTTATGCCGCTCCTTGGGAATACCTTGTGATGACTTGAGCTATAGTGTTTGCAGGGATAGGAGTAACTACTTGAAGAGATACGTTCTGAACGATATTCCTTCCTGCTCAGATCTCCTCACTTCAGACAACCTCTTAGCGCTCTCATCACTCGGCTACAACATGAGCAGACTTCAGATTCCCTCTTTTGGCAGGAGGAAAAATACTCCCCCAGCCACTCCTGCTGCTGGGGCGACCTCCTCTCCAGCGTCAGCTTCTTCTTCAGCCACCATATCTGACACTGTCCCGAGCGCAGTGGCTACTAACCCTGTTGCCAGCGCCCCTGCTGCCAACCAGAACGCGCCCTCCCCAGCTACCATAGCTCCTGCTGCTGCGGGGGGCGGTCGGGACAAAGAACGAGGCAAAAGGCCTCATCCTGACAGTGAAATCGATCCTGAGGAGGAGCCTCTCATTAGAAGGACCCGGGTCTCTGGGCCGGGTGCTCTCTTGCACCGAGCGATCAGAGCTCCTTCTCCCTCTGGGCCTCCTGCAGCTGGTGGCTCTGCTTCTGCTTCAGGCCCCCCTTCTATCCCCAGCTTACCGCCATGGGCCCCTCGGTACACCCGAACGGATGGGACGTTCGTGAAACCGAACGAGACCATGCTGAGGGATGGCCAGACCGCTATGGCCTACTACAGGAGCATGTGGACTCCTAAGGACCTTGAGGCGGCAAAGGGCCTTTCCCAGAAGGATGTGTTCAGCCGCTTTCCCCAATCTGCTATGGAGGTGACTTTTATTTTCTAACTCATGAATTCTCTCATATTACTTGATCTTGCCTTCGCCCGTTCTGACTATTGGTTTAACCGTTTTTAATGTGCACCTATGCAGACATTGTTCGGGATGATGGCCATGCAGAAGCAGGTGGAGATGGGGAACGCCAGGGCCCGTAAGTATTCTGACAGCCTGGAGGTGGCTAATAAAGAAAACGACCTCCTTGCCATGAAGAATACCGAGGTGCTGGTTCGGCTTGACAAAACCGAGCAAGAGAGAGATGTCCTGAAGAAGGAGAATGATTCCCTTCAGGATGAGAAGGACGCCCTCCAGCTTGAGAAGAGCGTCTGGCAGACCGAGCGGGAATCAATTAGAGAAGAGAAGGCAGAACTCCAGCGCCTTCTAGCTGATGAACAGTCTGCTCGGATGGCTTTTGAAAAAAGAGCTCTGGAGGAGCGTACCGCTCTGATCGGCGCGATCAGCAGAGTGGGTGGTGGGATGCTGGCCCTTCACGCTCGGTTCTCAAGGGTCGGTGCTCTTAGGTATGCTCAAGGATTCCAGGAAGGTTTCGCCGACCGGGTTCCGGATGAGGGACAGACCAGCTCCACTCCGGATGAGGTAGACAAGGATCTGGGGATCGACCCTCTGGGGGTCTATGTCGACCCAGAACCCACCGAAGCGGAGCGTATATTTGATGAGTGCCAGGACATCGCATCCTCAAGGATCATCACAGCTCCTCCTACCGCTCTGCCACTGACCGCTCCTCAGTCGTCAACCGTGGTTTCTTCCATAGCCACTGCTGACGCTGAACCCCAACCGAACGATTCAGTCATTCACCTTGATTCCCCACCTCATGAAGGTGAGGCGGCTGATGGGGCCGAGGAGGCGAGTCGGCACGACCAGGATGCTGTTGGTACTGAGGCGTCTAGCTAGGGCTCCTTCGAATTCTTCCATTTCATATCTTCTTGTAATGATGGACATCTCTCTTTTGTAAACTCAATGTTCAATATTAATGAAACGACAGAACTCTTTTTCCCTATGTGTTGTGCTCTATTCAACTCATCTTCAGTACATACATATCTTTTCTCTCTTTTTCTTTTATATTAGCTTTGCTGTGTGTTTGTTTATGGCACGTGCCACTTGGCTTTAAGTTTTTAGCAAGTGCCTGGCGCTCGGCTAGGATGCCACTTGCCACTTGGCTTTAAGTTTTTAGCAGTGTCTGGCGTTCGGCTTATAGTGTCAGCTGCCACTTATCTTGCTTAAGTGCCTGGCGCTCGGCTAGAGTGCCACTTGCCACTTGGCTTTAAGTTTTTAGCAAGTGTCTGGCGTTCGGCTTATAGTGCCAGCTGCCACTTATCTTGCTTAAGTGCCTGGCGCTCGGCTAGAATGCCACTTGCCACTTGGCCTTAAATTTTTAGCAAGTGTCTGGCGTTCGGCTTATAGTGCCAGCTGCCACTTATCTTGCTTAAGTGCCTGGCGCTCGGCTAGAATGCCACTTGCCACTTGGCCTTAAATTTTTAGCAAGTGTCTGGCGTTCGGCTTATAGTGCCAGCTGCCACTTATCTTGCTTAAGTGCCTGGCGCTCGGCTAGAATGCCACTTGCCACTTGGCTTTAAATTTTCATAGTAGACCGTTGGAAAAGAAAATTCTTTTTTGTAAATTTCAGTAACTTGCTCATTCATACGTATTTGATTGACAACAAACAACATCCAATTAAAGCCGGAACTTAGCTTTTATTGGTAGTACCTCTTCAGAGACGTGGCGTTCCAGGGCTTGCTGACCAACCTTCCCGCCATGGTTTCCAACGTATATGCCCCCTTGCCAATG